TACCTTTCCATTTAAAATAAGAAAGTTAAGACCGACATCCGGTCCGGAAGTGCCGCCATCTTGAAAATATTTTCATTTAGGAGGACATATTGGTTTATGGCTATGTACAATTTTCAAATAAATACAATTATTCCAACTCCCAATACTTCTAAAGTGGGGTTTAGACGGAACAGCCTGTATAGTGTTAAAAATTTAGTTTTTTTGTTATTTTAGTGAGTTAATTTTAAATTTTTGTGAATTAATTTTTCATGTGTTAATTATACAGTGTTTCATTGTTATTGTTAGGTACAAATTTAAATAGTTGATAGAATATTTAATTTTAAGATAAAAGTGTTTTGAAAAATACTATGAAAAGGAGCTACACTCCCTAAAAAAGGTACGTTTTTTAAAGGGTTTTTCCTAATATTTCAGAATAGATAAAATTACAAAATTTGGTACCTTTATATGTACACCTAAACAAATGCCAAATAACAAAATTTTTAATCAGGGGCGTCCTAAACGGTAAAACAAATTTAATTTTTATTTTTTATGCTGTTTATGGTCTGTAACATAAATTTTTAAACCGATTTTTACTAAATATCCGTAAATTGTATCGGAAAAACACAAAAGACCTTTTTTTATGAAAAACTAAGAAATTTTGTTGCTGAAAGTGACAAGAAACCACAGGCAAAATAGTTAGAGTAAATTTTTACCCTAATTCCATCTAGTTTAGGAAGCCCCTAATTAAAAATTTCAATTTTTGTACTTGTTTAGGTGTATAAAAGTTATCATCTGTACCAAACTTTGAATTTTTTTTCTAAAATGATTTCGGAAATATTGAAAAAAAAACCTATTAAAAGACGCACCCCTTGCGTAGCAGTTTACGATATATGTTCATACAAAAAATTTTGTTTTAAAAATGAATATCTCCTGTTTAAATTTGTAACATTTCATTTTCATGGACCAACAAGAAACCCCCCCCCCCCCGAAATAAAATCCTGGTTACGGCCCTGAAGTAGCGTCTTCACTGGTGGTAATATTATTATCAGTGCAGCTTTGGTCATTTTTCTCACTTGGAGTTGGTAAACGTGTACCAACTGCCTTTCAACAGTATAAAATTGGTGTAAGAATGAATTCGTTCGGCACCTGGTCCCCGGCTTCTGGTTACTATCAACGTCGTAAAAACGTCCAATAATTGAACACCTTTCAGTTTTAATTGCGTGTTTCGCGTTTCGTCATTTGCTTGGATTGAGGAAAAACAGATTGGGAGTTTTCGGATTCTTTTTACCTGTATGCTGCTGGAGCTATTTTTGGATAGGAAGGGGAATAAGATTTATAAATTACCGATGGCAGTTGCATGAGCTTTAATGCAGCATATAAACATAAAAATACGTGCCAATAAAAAAAGTCTTGCTAAAAGAAAAATACATACAGGGACATTTTTTTAGTATACATAGCCCTATGTATACTTAAAAAAAACGGGTTAATTTTATAGGTAGACGACCAACATTTCAAGCTTTAGAAGGTACTAGATATTAAAATATTCAAAACCAAAATTTTGTGCCAAGTTTGTCAAGTGTTAGTCTTGAAATATGGTCAAATCCTATCAGATTTGATTAAGAGTTTCATTTTTATTTAGTAAAGTGTCTTTTAGATTGTAAAAAATAATGTTTGGGTCACTTCGAGTAGCTTCATGTCACTTTAGGCCACTTAGGGTTATTTCGGATTACTTTGGCTTGAAGTAAAAAGAAAGTGTTAAATGTACTGACTTTTTGATTTTCAAAAGAAGAAAAATTCTTAAGGAAATGTTTAAATTTAGTAGTAAAAATGCCAATCGAGACGTTTCAAAACATCGTAAATTTCTAGACTTGCAAAAAAACATTTAAAATTTGTTAAAGAAATGCGGGGTTTTCAAAATCGCTTGGAACTACAAAGAAAGCATTTTGAACACTTGCTTTAATTATTTAATATTTTTCATGTTTTGATGTGTTTTAATTTTTCTTAATTAATATTTAATTACATTTATTTTGTGGTTTTTAAAAGCTTGTCTTTTATTTATCAATATTAAAGCCTTTGTAATATTGGTTGCCTATGCCTAGACTAACGGCTAATCGTAATAGTCGTAGCAACATTGAAGTTGACCTGCTTTTTTTTTTAAGTATACATAGGGCTATGTATACTAATAAAAAAATGTCCCTGTAGGTTTTCCTTATTATAAATAAAAATCAAGTTATAATAAATACCTATATTCTTCCTACAATAGTTAACTATTCCTGTGTTTTATTTCGAAAAAATTTGGTTAAATTAAGAAAAATAAGTAATTTTGTCAATTTGGTAGTAAAATTCGTAAATAAAAGGCCACAAATGAAAACTAATATAACATTTATACCTAAATTGAATAGAAATTCATATGTAAGTACATACGTATAATTTTGCAATTTTCTACTTTCTTTTGTCAATTTTATTTTTTAACATAGTTAGTTTTTGTGTAAGAAATGCTCTAAAATCTACTGAAAAATTAACCAAAAATAATTATTAATTTAACTAAATAAATATATTACTAATATTGTTATTTTTTTATTCTTATGTTACGACAAATTGCTCAGATGGGTCCAGCACGTAAACCCAAAAATTCTCAAGTAGACGTTTTTATGGCGAATTGACTATTTTTACGTTATATGGATCAATTCTAAAGTTTTTTTTTATTTTTATAGAAATTTTGGTCGATTTTTGGCACTATTATTAACTTTATTCACCTTCAAAAAATCAAAAAATTCGTAATTTTTCATAGTAGACCCAAAAACGTTTTATGCACTTTTTTGAGTTGAGACCTTTAGGAATGTAAAAAACATTGTATGGAGCAATGCTAAAGTTATTTTTTTGGTCTAGATTTTGGTCAATTTTGCATTTTTTTTTAAATAACTGCTGACTTATTGATGATAACTTCTTATGTTTGAAAAGAAAATGTAATTTTCTATCATATACAAAAAAGATCAGTGTTCTACGATAAATAGTTATCGAAAAAATTTCTGATAAAGTCAAAAATATCAAAAAAAAAACAAAAATTTTTTTTTGATTTTTGTCGAGATTCTGGTCGATTTTTGGCACCCGGAGCGGTCTAATGGCAATAACTCCGGACTTATTAGAGATAACCTCTTATATTTGGTACCGTTGGATAGAAAATTGAATTTTCTCTACGATGCTCTACGATGAATAGTTATCGAGAAAATTTCTGATATAGTCAAAAATATCGAAAATTTAAATCCGACTATAACTTTAAAACTACTATAAATTTTGCAGTTTAATTGACGCCAATCGATTCCCCGGAACATTTTACATAGGTTTAGGTCAAAATATTTTGTCATTGAGACACAGTTTTGCCGCAATTTACAAAACAAAAAAACTAAAAATTTGTTAACACCCCCCCCCTTAAAATCTAGTGTTTTTGAACATGTCTCAGATTCGATTTAAACCTATCTTATCCGATAGATTTTGACGCGCTAATTACGAATTTCCCAATTATTTTGCGCAATCTCCTTTAGTTTCGCCGTAATCGGCGTTTAAAAATTCAAATTTTTTTTGCGAGATATCGACTTGGCTTTGGCCTCAGTCGATAGATTTTCTTACGCTGATTACGATGGAGTTGAACTGATTGCTCTAACTCTAATAGTTTCGCTGTAATCGATGTTCAAAAAGTGAAAATTGTCAAAATTGTGAAAATTTAAACGCGTTTTTCTACGAAACTTAGAGCAAACGGGTAAAAACCATTAAAATTAGCTTAAAATTATCTATTTACTGGCGCAAACCGGAAGTCGCTCCGGGTTATGGTTCCGGGAACAAAGGCATTTTTAGTTTTTTAAAAAAAAAATTCATTTCTCAAAAATTATGAGTCCTAGGTCAAAACGATGTTATCAGGCGTGTTCTCCGGTTAATTTTACATATAGTACTAGTTTTTCATAAAAATCAAAAAAATGTTGATTTTTGGTCAAAATCGGATATAGTACTTTTAGCCTTATTCTTAACTTTATTACTCAATATCTCAAAAACTATGCATCGTAGAGTATTTTAACTTGTTGCATCGTGTTCAGCGAGTAATTTTACGTCTAAAAAATCATATTTCAAGCGTTTTTACAACTTAAAAAAAATGTAAATTGACTATTTTTACGATACAGCTCACCTTCAAAAACTCAAAAAATTCGTAATTTTTTAAACTTGACCCAATAACGTTTTATGCACTAATTTGTGTCTTTAAGACCTCTAGGAATGTAAAAAACGTTAAATGGATCAATTTTAAAGTTAATTTTTTTTTTGATTTTTGTCGAGATTTTGGTCGATTTTTGGCACCTGGAGTGGTCTAATGGCAATAACTCCGGACTTATTGGAGATAACCTCTAATATCTTGTAACGTTGGAAAGAAAATTTATTTTTCTATCATATACAAAAAAAATATACAGAAAAGAGAAAATCAGCAAAGTAGCTGACCCCTGGTGTCCAACTTGGAACTATCCAAATGGGAAAAACATATTTTGACAATATTAGTTTTCCATTTTTGTCAATTTGACAAGTCAATGTAAATGTGAGTACTTGCAAGCGTTTTTGCTTCCTACTTCATTGCAGAAACTGTGTGGGAGGGTCTATTTCGATGCATTACTTTCTAAAATGAAGATTTCAACTTTTGGCATTATTATTTTAAATAAAAAATACTCCTACAAAACATTAGGTGACAGCTTATATGAAACTTTAAAGTTGTTACAAAATTCCGCCAAAACGTCGCTGCGCCGTCGTCTAAGCTACGTGCCAAAATTAGGAAAAGAGACATCTGGCTCATCAACTGTAAACTATTCAAATGGGGAAAACATTGATGTTTTAGTACCATCTATTGGCGGCTGATTTTCTCCTATCAGTGTTCTACGATAAATAGTTATCGAGAAAATTTCTCATAAAGTCAAAAATATCAAAAATATAAAATTTGTTAACACCCAACACCCTCATCTCTCTTTCGCTCTTAACGGTTGGCAGCGTAGTTGCTACACCTGTTTCCCCTACAAGTTTGAGGTTATAGAAGCTGTCAGTTGTGTCAGTTAAAATGTTTTTATCGTTTTACCTTCCCTTAAAACCAATTTGATCGCATACTTTTGAGTAAATTATGTGAATTTTCTCGCCACCGCAATGTCCCAAAGCACGACTAGCGGCACATCCTCAAGACGTCACCACCCGCGAGACCACGACTCGGCCTCCATCACATCCTCCAGAATTGCCGACATCACCGAGTGGGAAGCAAATGAGGTAAACAACTTTCCATATAATAGTGCGCTATGATCAAAGATGTGGAAGAAATCGAATTTTTGGAAACTTTGCAGGCCCTACGACAGCGCGAATTGGAGGAGGCGCGCGGAAGGGCCGCCCAAATGGAGAAAACGATGCGCTGGTGGTCCGACTGCACCGCCAATTGGAGGGAAAAGTGGAGTAAAGTGAGGAACGAAAGAAATAAAGCACGAGAGGAATGCAAGCAATTGAGGACGAAATTGGACACCGCCACCAAAGACACTGCCACCTACAAACGCGACAAAGAGGAACTCGAAATACAAAACGATCAACTTAAGAAAGAAATGGAGAAAATACATATTTTGCTCTTGAAACACGCAGGGCAATTTGATAGCCAAATTTTTGAAGCCTTAGGAGAGGACCCCCTCAAAGACTTTGTTTTTAGTCAAAGTAACGGCTCCCCAGCTCGGGAAAATGGAGCCACGAGACAGCCTGAATGCGACAGTACAGCCCTCCAGGATGGCTGCATCGAAGACTATATCCTACAGGGGGCTGTTCCTCGATATGTCAAAGATTTAGATGAGAAAAATGAGTTGGCAAACGGGGTGCCAAAATCTGGGCCCCCCAAAGAAGACTACGATGAGGAGTACGTCATCCAGAAATTGTCAATGTTACAATTGAGGTTGGAGGAAACCACAAAAACGCTCCAAGTTGAACGAGAGTAAGTTTTTAGGCAAAATGAGTCTTTTGTTTACTTTTGGGGATTTCAGAGAAAAGTCTCAACTGCACAGAGTCATAGATAAATTAACAATTGAGTTGCAAGAAGTCAAAGAAAAGTGTGACGAGTTAAAGGAAGCGAAACAGGAAGCGGCAAGAGAATTATTATCGCTGCAGGATCAGCATCAGGAAGAGATTAGGTTAATCAGAGCTGACTTGCAGGATGAGGCCAACTCTCGCGAGGGCATGGATAAACGACTCAATGACCTCAGGGCTGAAGTATGTACGATTTTCCTACTGTCACGGCAATACTAATATACAGGGTGTTCCGTCTAAACCCCACATTAGAAGTATTGGGAGTTGGAATAATCGTATTTATTTGAAAATTGGTACATAGCCATAAACCATTAAGTTCTCCTAAATGAATATATTTTTAAGATGGTGGCATTTCCGGTTATACCGGAAGTCGGTCTCAACTTTCTTATTTTAAATGGAAAGCTATATTTTTTACTGCGTTTTTGGATTAATCGGCTTATTTTAAGGGAGTTTTTATCAGCTTTCCCTATACCTAAATTTAGCGGTTTATGAAATTTTTGGATCTGCACCTTCCACTTTAAAAATCGGTAACTGCCATTTTTTAAGATTTTGAATTTTTTTGGCGTTTGAAAGAGAAAGCTTAGATCCTTTTTCTGGTGTTTTCAAATTTTGGAAAAAAAAGTTATTTTTGTAATAATTCAAACATTCATCTCATTTTTTTTTAATGAAATACCCCAATTTTTATTTTATTAAATAGAAGAGAATTTAATTGTGCATTGATCTGTATGAACATCCCCTATACCTAAATTTATTAATTTTCAAGTTATGGACTTTTTTTAAGACTACAGAAAATTTATTACTAGCCACACCCGTTTTCACATAGTTTGCTATGGAAATCAAAAATGTCAAAATTGTTTCTCAATAAACATCGATAGTGACTTATTATTTGACAAACAGTGCCAAAATATGGAGAATCAAAGTTATGCAAACTTGATTATTATTAATAAGTTCTACCATGCGATCATTATTTAAAGCTAGCAAGTGAAAAAAAATTATTTTTGTTTAATGAACGACATCATACTTTAGTTAGACTCTCCATAAATACAAAATAAATTAATTAAATCTAAGTTTAAGTAGCTTTAACAATTTTTTAAATTTTTTGAAATTTTAGAGTTTGTTATTTTTTTTTTCAAAATTTCAAAACACCAGAATAAAGATCTAAGCTTTTTTTTTAAAACGCCAAAGAAACGAATTTAACATTTTAAAAAATAGCACAGTTACCGATTTTTAAAGTGGAAGGTGCAGATCCAAATTTTTTTGAAAAACTCCAAATATTTCAAAGACTGCTAAATTTGAGTATAGGGAAAGCTGATGAAAACTCTCTTAAAATAACCCGATTAATCCAAAAACGCAGTAAAAAACATAGCTTTGCATTTAAAATAAGAAAATTGAGACCGACTTCCGGTATAACCGGAAGTGCCGGCATCTTAAAAATATTTTCATTTAGGAGGTCTTAATGCATTATGGCTATGTACCAATTTTCAAAGAAATATGATTATTCGAACTCCCAATACTTTTAATATGGGGTTTAGACGGAACATCCTGTATGATTATGACTAATAAATTAACAACGTTTAAGTATATTAAAAAAGCACGAATTCAAGTTTAAAAAACGAGTAGCGTAGGAGTTAATTTAAAGAATGAATGCTTCAAAGTCTTATGAAACGGGTTTTTTTACTATTTTTTTCAATTTGCCCTCTTTATGCTGTTTAAATAAAAAAAATTACTTTAATTGATTTAAGGATTGTTGTGACCTTTGGTAATGAGTTTATTTTAAAAGTAAACATTTGATAGTCGCCTTTTGATGACGTCGCGTTGTATTAGAGAATCAAAATGGAGGCAAATCACAAAAAACGTGGTTACGCCACTCGTTATTTAAACTTGAATTCGTGCTTCAAGACTGGTCTTATGAAACTTGTTTTTTTACTTTTAATGTCTGAGTAATAATTACTCATGATAAACCCAAGATCAAGGAGGTTAACTGAAATTTTTCAGTTGGAACGGCTTCAAGCTGAAAATGCGGCCGAATGGGGCAAGCGGGAGCGTTTGGAAACTGAAAAACTGGGATTGGAGCGAGATAATAAAAAATTGCGAGCAGAGTTAAGAGACATGCAAGAACGGATGGAAAGAAAAGGCCGACCTTTATCAAATTCGGACGCTGAAGTCAGGCATTTGCAACAGGAGTTGTCTGATAAGAATAAAGTATGTTGTTTCTATTTTTGTATTTTTTTGATAAAATTTGTTTTAGGAAATATCCGAATTGAGGCACTCGCAGAACAAGTTGAAGAAAATGGTCCAAGACAAAATAACAGAATTGGCTCATGCGGTGAGAAGGGCGGAGCAATACGAATCTGAAGTGAAGAAATTGCGAAGTAGAGTTGAAGAATTGAAGAGAGATTTAGCAGTAGCTGAAGATGAGCTCGATACTGCGTCAAATAATATTAGAAAACTACAAAGAACAAACGATGAGCTTCAAGAACAAGTCGATAACTTCCAAGTCCAATTACAGCATTTGCATACGAGGTTTGTGTTTAATATTGTTACTAAAACAGTAGATTTGTGCTTCTTGATTAACTGGGATAAGGTTTAATTTCCTTCTTTCTGTGCTTCCCTTATTTTCAGTATGGAAAAAGAAGATGGGGGAGAAGAAATGGCACTTTACGATGAGAACGAATGTGTGAGTATTTCTGTGACTGGAGTTGTAGTTATGCATGGATTTTGCTAATTAACATCGTTGTTCCAACGAGTTTTAAATGTTTCGGAACTGTTTCACTAAACTATTTCGAATTTCCTCTTGGAAAAACACTTAAATGGTTGTTTTTGTGCAGGTTACGTAATTGTAGTTCGTCAAGTTTGCTGTCGCATCGAGGAGCTCTGCTCACGGAGGATGGTAGTGATGATGATGTTACTGAATATTAGTTTGATTTCTTCCACGTACTTAGTATTTTTCAAAGGAAAAATTATGTGTTCAACACGACGTTTTTACAGCGTTTGTGTTACTTTTCCCTTATTTATTGCTTGTACATAACTCTGTACCTAGTTGTTACTTAACAGTAGATTAAATTATATTATTTTTATATGAGGCACAATTTTAATGTGATTTTTTTCCAATTTGCAGTTTGACATTTATTGAGATAAGAAGCGAGCTATGGCCTACTGTCTGTTAGGTTTGTCCTGTTTTTTTGACTGATATGTAAAGAGTAGACTGAATTTGTTTACAGTGTATTTTCAAAAATTGCATGATTGTTGTGTATACGTAGAAATCTCTCGCACTTGTTTTCCCCTATCAGATTATTCCATTTAACAGGGTGATAAGAATTTTGTTCCAAGGGGAATGAACTAGTCTAGTATCTAACCAGTTTAGTTTTAGTTTCAATCCCAATCACATGTAGCAATAACTACTTGTTCAATTTTCAACCAGTGTTGCACTTATTAGTGCCTTAAAATATGATTATGATTTATTTACAAAGCACCATTGATTTAACAAACGAAACTGTTTTTATATAAATAAAATTGTACCTAGCTGTTTCGCTCAGGGCTATGTATCACGTATAATTCGTGCCAATAAATATTTAATTAAAACATGTTTATTATTGATCACAATATGTTATAAAAAAATCAAGCGTATTCGAATCCAATCACCGTGATGTGTCGCTTAATAAATAGGAAATTAGTGCTTCCATTGTGAGTCAAATCCGGCTGCTGAGTCCGAATCCGAGTCATTTGTGTAGAAATTGGAAAAATTTCTTGACATTTGACGGGGAGTCCCTGGAGTACTGTTCATCCCCGACGAATAAGGCCTTTTTGATTTCTTCTTTACTGTGGTAATTTTAGGCCCCGGATTTATATTCTCCTGGGGAAAAAAATGTAAAAATTTCGACGATTTTTTTTATTTTTATACCTGATTGACATTATCGGCGGAGCCCCACCCTTTGTGCACTTTCTCACTTGTGGTTTCAAGGGCATTCACTGAACCACTTCCAACCCCTAAGAAATTACTAAAAGCCTCTGTTGTCTTTTTAACTCGAACATTTAACGAGCCTATCCTTAAAAACCCCAAATCTTTATCTGAAACGCACTCGATTTAGGAGTCTCAAAAAAAAATCATAGACTCACCTGTGGGTTTTTTCCGCCCTTTTATTTCTGTAAATAAATGGGGAAAAAGAAAAGCGAAATTGATTAGACACATTTTATTGTTTGTACATGCAAGAGTAATAATACTGAAGAAAAAGCTGTGCTGAAACACTACATACTATCTAAAAGAATATAAAAATATAAAATACAACAGTCATGCTTGAAACTACCCAAAAATTGAGATATGTTAAAGCCACCCGAGGAAAAAAAAAACTACTTGTTTACTTGATAGGTACCGACAAGATGTGGATGTGCCCTGGCACATGCCGCTCTATCTATTGCAACTTTAGGTTTAAGTCGAAAGCTAGGTTTATGTGCAGGAAGCTTGCCATGCTTTGCGGATGTTTTATACTCACTGCGGATGTTATCTTTTCGGATTTTTTGATCTCTACTTTCCAAATAATAGGCCGGCAACCTGCCGCTATAATCCCTGATTCTTGAATCAGCATCTATATTTTTTTTGTAAAATTTGTTATTGACCACAAAAATACTCACGGTATTCATTTATTAGCATATCGTAGATCTCTTTATGCCCGAACTGCGCTGCCAGATGTAATGGTGTGTATCCCTAAGTAAGAAAAACGACTTTATACAAATGTAAACATCATAAACAAGCTGTTATCTCTTGTATTAAAGTTAATCTAAGATGTGACATAACTGCAGGAATGCCCGGCATGCGTCAAGACGGAAGAAGAGGCTACTGTAGGTAAAAACGCATCAGGAATAAATAATTTTACTCTCTAAAGATATAAAAAAGATAACGAACTTACCCCGTTCTGTTTGATGAAACAGCACCGGAAAAAAATTAAAAAAAATAATGTAATGATATGTTAACTAATGTCCAGAGCTATTTACTAAGTATTACAATCTGCTTCTACAGTAATTTTGCTCTAATAGCGCTGTAAAACCGACGGTACAGTTAGCTTGCTTGTAGGGAAATAACACTGAACTTTGTCGGTTTAATCATTAAGTTTTTCATTTAAAAATTTTAATTAAAAAACTGAAACTAACAAAAAGCAAGTTTTAAAAGATTTTGTGCGGTATTTATTTCTTTCTTTTAGTTCGTAACTCCTTTTAGGATTAATTTTTCTGTTAGACATTATTTAAAAACATAAAAACACAAAAGTTGACATTTTGGCGAAATCTAAAAAAATTCATATCTTCATTATTATAGAAGATACGGATTTGAAATAAAGACATTATAAAGGCACTTTTTTACGAGGAATTTAATAATGTAGTTAACAATTTTTTTCAGTTGTTGGTTTAGCCGTGATAAGATAAACTAGTATTTTTTTAAATGGAAATCATAGGCGGCTATGGCAATTTTGAAAAGCTTATTTTTTTCTGATCTAAAAAATATTTATTTGTGACAGAATATTTTTTTATAATTATACTTAAAAAATGAAGTACATATTTTGTTTGATAATAGTTGGCCTTGGAAAAACTATTTCGCTCCAAATGTGTAAATAATAATCAATAAGAGTTTTGTGAACTGTAAAATAGATGAAAAAATAGATACGATTATAAAAATTTAAATAATACGATAAGTGAGAAGTATTGAACAAATATGCGAGCGCCTCAGAACAAAATTATAACATATTTTTAAAAAATCCAAAAATAGGAAAAACAAATGTGTCAACAGTCAACACATTTTTGTCAAAACATTTTTTTGATGATCTAATGGAGGTAAATGTTATTAGTCGCCAATAAGTTGATTTACGATTTATTTTGCATTTTTTTCATTACTTAGTACTTAGAAAACTCTTTCATTAGTGAAACTGGTTGAATAATATAGTTTAAATTCTTTTAGTTGAAGATGCAAAATTTTTTCATGGCCAACTGCGAACAAAAATCAAAGATAATTTTTTACTAAAAAAGTATTATAATAATTTGTTACAAATAAGTATATATTTTTTAGATTAGAAAAAAAACAAGCTTTTGAAAAATGACAGCCATTTATGATTCCCATTAAAAAAAATACAAGTTTATTTTATTACGGTTAAACAAAGAACTAAAAAAAATTGTTAACTACATTATTAAATTCTACGTAAAAAAGTGCCTGTATAATGTCTTTATTTCAAATCTGTGTCTTCTATAATAACGAAGATATTAATTTTTTTAGATTTCGCTAAAATGTCAATTTTTGTCTATAAGTCGAAAACAAAAGACGATAGCGGGATTAAAAACTGATACAACTGGCATTTTGTAAAAATTCATGTATGTAAAAGTTAATTTGACAGTTTTTTAATATCAATCATAATGACAGTAAAGGTGCATTTACATTGACATTTTTTGAGCTACTTTTAATTATACTTAATAAAAAATCTTGACAGTAATCTTTTTTTTTGTTTCACTCTATACCTGTATTATAAAAAAATTCAGTGACACAGCAGAAAAATTAAAAAGGTTTCACAAATGTAGGTCATGTAGCTTGAAATTTATTTCTCTAATTTGGAATGCAAATGATTCAATAAAAATCAATAAAAATTAATGTATTACACGTTTTGTGCCATTTTAATGATTGTTGATTTAAATTGATTAGGAGCAACACTTCTCATTAATAATATTAAATGACTGGCAGTTGAAATTTTAATTATACTCATTAATACATGTAAAATGTAAAAATATTTTAACTCTATTTAATTTTTTTTTCTAATTTTTCTCGATAATGCAAATAGAATTCCACGGCAATGAATTACCGTTCCTAAACTTACCGTTTTTCCGTTGACATCAACCTTGTATTTGCCAGCAAACATTTGGATGATCTTCGGATTGCCATGTTTGGCGCCCCAATGCAGAACCGTCTGTAACACACAACGTGTCACATATTTTCTTCCTTCCTCGACAATTTAAATAAACGATAAAGCAAACAACACGCCTTTTTACAAAACAACGAAAACAAAAATCCGAAAAATGTGGGCTACATGATCGTCGCCGATACGTCTTGTCTTGTTTTCTAAATTGCTCGGCCGAAATACGACTTCCTCTCAGGAATCGACACCTGAATTTGTCATGAAACACGATTGACTAAATTGATAATAATGTGAAAACTGTACCACCGACACAATTCAACGAGCACGTGATCGAGTAATTAATCTATTAATTACAACTAAGAAGTGCTTTGAATTTTCGAGGCCCGATACCAATCATTCAACGAAAAAAAAAAAAAAACGCAGGTGAGTCAGGAGAAAAAAAAACTTACTTACATACTGGAAAAGCCGGCCAAGGTAAGAAAAGGCACAAATGGCGAAAACATGAAACAGAATAATTATTTAGCAATTATTTCAAGTGACAAAAACAAGCCATTGAGCAAATTTTTAAAAATGTCAAAGAATTTATAAATCAAGAGTCTATTATGACCTCGCGACTACGCCTCTGGTCATAACGAGATATTTCCCACGTCAGTTGTAATACAGGGTGTTTGAGGATTGCGAGCAAATATTTTAACCAGTCAAAAGAAACAACTTTCGTTATTCCAACTTTTGTCGAAAGCACGTCATTTCTGAGTTAAAATTAAAAATAAATTGAGGCTGAAAACCCGTCCCCGCCTATGTCTTAATACAATGTTTACAATCATTCATAAGAAAAAACTTTGGAACGTAAACAGCGTAAAGACAAAAAAAATTATCGCTACATTAGGGTCAATGTTAGTGGGTCAATACTTGCTATTATAAAAAATTGCTCGAAATGTGGTCATTCGTTGGCAATGTACACTTCTTGTACTCTTCGGGCTAGAGAAGCTTGCGTTCGCACACACAGCCCTTCGAAGGTATAAATTTGAGCTGCGTACACAAATTCACTAATTGTTTTGTTATTTGTGGGGTCCAATTTGGTGATCTTCAATGAACTGCCTAAACATTTAGTGAAAATCGGTCTTGGAAATGCGTTGTGCGATCAACCTAAATCAAAGTATTTCAACCAAATACTGGCTCTAATAAGGGTTTTCTTCTAAAATAAAGCAATTTGAGCTATTTTCAATCCAATTTTGCTCGATTTTAATACTGAATCAATTCAAAACTAATGTATTTTATTAGTATAATTGCTTCAACCTTAATTTTAGGCTGAAATAAAGCAATTTGTGATATTTTCAATCGATTTGGCTCAATTTCAAACAACTTCAATTTTTTTTATAGTTAATTTGGCGTTTGAGTAGTTGGCCATAATGACTTGATTAACAATTTGATTTCAAATCGATGTGCACAATTCGCCCGAAAGAGCATTAACGACTAACAGACTGACACGTGTAAACAAGTGATAATTTTTTGGACAAAAAGTTTCCTTTTTTCTGTATAAAAACTTTCAATGCAATTTATTTTCATTGATATTTTTACTTCCAACTAACAAGGACAGACACACTGAACGGCTCGTGAAAATCGTAGGGGGGAAATTGCAAAAATAAAATTTGGATATGGAATTTGTTTGGTCTTCATTTTGACAAACAAATTCTCTTAGTGGTTAAAATATTTGCTCACAATCCACAAACACCCTGTATATTATTAATTAATGAAATGACTTTTACATTTTTAAAAAGTACACAATAGCTCATTTTTTCTTTAAATATCTAATTTAACATGCATTAACATTTCCATTTTACAAAAATCCTAAATATCAAAAAAAAAATATTGCAAATATTTTTTTAAATAAAAAAATTTTGGTTGCCTCCTGGTGTTTCCCCGATAAAATCCAGTCCGTTATTAAATATCGGAAATTGTTATCGTTCGTTTAATTGGATGTTATTAAATTTAGTAAAATATCTCTCGCGAGTTTGTTGCTCAGTATCGTGCAAGTGAGCAGGTGGTGTTAGTGGCGGCCGGMGGTATGACAGGCCCCAGGTGAGTCAAGTCGAGGTGACAGCCCCGGTCGCGATTCATATATGCCCCACTAATTGAACAAAACGGCCAAGAGTCAGTCTCGTAGCACTGTCTTGCCTATCTTCCGATCTGACGAACGCGCGATACTAATTGCCGCCGGCCGCGCAGGTGAGCCCCCTTAATATGTTATCATCATCATTATGCAAATGTGCTGGAAGCACCCGTCCTCCACGAGACTCCACAGTAGCGGCCTTCAGGCACCCTCGATCTTCCCTCAGAAGACGACCTTTGTGCCAGAATGCAGGAACATCATGTCTTCATAAAAAGAGGGTCTCATTAACAAGACACGTAGACGCAATTTAGGGTAAATGTGGGACATATGCCCCTCAAAGTTAATAATTATAAAAATTGTGCAATGGAAAAACTTAAAACTAGCTAAGGGCAGCAGCTCATATATGACATACGAATGATATACCTACATTTAGATTTTTATAATTTTTTATAAATGAATTGTTTTTGTATTTGTTTTCTTGAATTTAAGTTTTAAGTTCTAATAATAAACCAATAAACCGATTTTACTATGTTATGTTATTTATGTATATACTATACAGGGTGCGCCAGAACTCGCGCCCCAGAGAAAAATGCCATATAAGGTTAGATACCAGGAACATGGAAAAAATGTTAAAAAAATTTTATCTATAAAAATTTCGAAGTTATGAGGGTTTAAAGTTTGCACTATGACTCTATTTATTTCTGTTGGAAAAATAATTTTTCAAGTTTTTTTGCTATAGGCTATTAAAAGAAGAAACAAGGAAGCTGTATCCTAAATTGTAAGTCTGTTCAATGTTATTTGTGGCTTTTATTGGCAACATTTTTAAACTTTTACTAAATAATTGTAAAAAAACATATACAAGATCATTAGTATCATTAAATAGATATAATAAAATGTCAAATGTCAAAAAACAAATGTTAAAATTTTTGACAAATAGAATTTTTTAAATGTTTCTGGTATCTTACCTTACTTGAAAATTTCCTCTGGGGCGCGAGTTCTGGCGCACCTGTATATACCTACATATGTACAGGGTGTTTCAATGAAAACGAGCCACCACAAATATCCCAGAAACTAAAAAAATTTTGCAAAAACGCCAAAATAGGTTAATTTTGTTTCCGAGAGGGACATTTTTTGACGTAATTTTTAAATTATTCTCAGTAACCTTTTAACCCCCACGCACCCCAACTTAAAAAAATTAAATAGCACTACCCTACTTGTGGCACATCAAATGAAAGCTATTTTAACAAGCTTTATACCAAAATTGAATCAGACCATCCATTTATAAGATACAGAGTGTTCTAATAAAAACAAACCAGAAAGAATTTGCAAAAAAACGAAATAGGTTAATTTTGTTTTTAAAAAAGACATTTTTTCTCATAATTTTTTAAGCATCCCCAATAACCCCTTTAACTTTTCCCACCGCAATTTCGTAATTTCAAACCGACTCACTTGTGACAGATCAAATAAAAGTGTTTTTAAGATGTTATTTGAACCTCTTTTCTAAAGTTGAATAGAATTACCTATTCATAAGATATTTGCAAAAGATAAAGTTTTAATTAGTTAATTAGAATTAGGTAATTACTTCTAATAAAAACTATTAAAATAAATTACAACAAACTTACTAATATTGTTATAAGTATTATTGGAGCTGTAACAAACTTATTTTATTTTTTTTATTTTATTGTCAAAATAATCGTATAAAGGACAGGGGGTAATCAAGTTTCTTATAATTTAATGTAAGTACCTAAAAATAGCAATGTAGTTCTTAAGTTCCTTTGTACATACTGACTGCTGAAAGATTAGTTTTTTTGTCGATATTTTGTGAATGTATAGAAATAATTTCATTTTGGACAAAAGCTTTTAAAGAGCAATTTAAGTGTTTTCATTTTTTGTATCATCAGTGGTTGGTGCTATTTGACATTTTAGAGTTAAGTGGCATTGAGGTTAAAGGGTTAGTGAAGGTGCCTTTAAAATTGCGTCAAAAAATGTCCATTTTAAAAACAAAATTAACCTGTTTCGGGTTTTTTTTTGGCAATTCTTTTCTAAAATGTTTCGTTTTTATTAGAACAATTGTCTAATTCAATTTTGGTAAAAACTTTTAAAAAGCTTGTTAAAATAGCTTTCATTTGATGTGCCACAAGTGGGGTAATGCTATTTATTTTTTTTAAGTTGGGATGCGTGGGGGTTAGAGGGTTACGACAAAAAATGTCCCCCTTGAACACAAAATTGAGTCTTTTTAGTTTCTGAGATATTCGGGGTGGCTCGTTTTCATTGGAACACCCTGTGTATTACCCCCGTGGGATACGTACTCGTATGTACCACGTTTACCCTATGGTTGAAAATACGCGATAAACAGGCCCAAATCGTATAATTTAGATGAAATATGCGTAGAGAAATCCAATCATAATGAACTCTTGTTTTTGCAAATTTCCATAATTTGATCTTCTTGCAATTAACAATCGAAAATTACCACTTCCTCGGGTAGTCAAAATTATTCCATCCCGAAATGTGTTGAATGTAAAATTATACGATTGTTGAAAACAGTGTGTTGGTATAAATCATGACGACTTCCTTTCGCTCTTTGATAAGTTGAACTTTCCAAAATTTGCTTATAAAAATCCCAAGGTAAAAAAACAACGAGTGGATGCCCAGTAGGAAATCCTTTACTCAGGCTCATAACGCCGAGGACACGATGTTTGTTTTAGGGCACCCCGTCGAGTGTTTGCCCCCCCATGGGGCCCCAACTCCCCTAAAAGCTTCTCCTTATCAGATCTCCACATGATGACAATTTCAATTCAGTCGCAGAACAAACTAGCCCATTTTTGAGCCCTACGAAGCTTTTCCCCTCTTTTTTCCTCGCGAAGAAAAAGCAAAGAAAGGCGATTGGTGACGTTGCGACTTGATTGCGTGATGTAAATTAAATTTTCAGAACGCTAATGTGGAGTCCGATGTTTGGCGCCTTTGTAATAATTTTGGTACAAGCCATAATATGTTTTTCGTATCGTTCTTGTCGTGACAATGTCTCCGGTGTAAGAATGCGCAATAAACAACCAAAATGATATATTTAAATGCTTCACTTTGTGACGAGGCGGCTTTTTTATGCAGGCAACAACATAAAAATTACTTTGCTACTTTCCGACGAAAACGAGACACTTCAACAGGAAAAAAAGGCTAATTATTACACTTTCTCTACATATGACGCGGTAATAAGTGGACCTGGATTTTTCGGGCAAATTCCAACAAAAATACTACTCATTAAATCATACGAAAAAACGCCTGACAAATTAAGATTAATATAAAATCAAATAATAAATCAATTCCTAAACTGGAAATTTCTTTTGCAAAACATGATTTATAAAGTTTCAAAAAAATTATTAGAACAATTAAAGAGTTACAAAAAAAGATTAATAAAGATAAAAAATAAAAAAATACCTCAATAAAAAAAAAAATTACAAGCTAAAAAATAGCAAAATTTTGAATGTTTCTCGTCTAAAATAAAAACTAATATCTACGAAAAAAATTATAAGCAAACAAGTATTGTTCATTAATTTAACTCTATTCTAATTTAAATTAAAAGTAAAAATTAAAAGACTTACGGCCTGTTTTCGGTCGTCCGGGAAAGGAACATGAAAAAAAAACTCTTTCATCATCTCGGTAAAACACGTAGCTGTTTCTATTGAAGTGATTATTTGCAAATTGTAATTACAAACTTTTTTTCTTCAAAAAACTATCAGTTAATTATAAAATTATTCATCTGAATTAAAATTCCATCTTGCAGCACTTTACGTATATAGAACCTTATATTATGCAGCTGCTTTAAATGTCTTTGTTGACTTTAAAAAATTATAACAACCAAGACATTCTTTGCGTTCGCATGAGTGACTTTGATATGTATGTGGATATCCTGTATTAACTAGTACCAATTCATAAACGTGGGAAATGCATAGAATAAAATAATAAAATACAAGTGTTAAAAAATGATCCCTTTAGAGAGGTGTTGTAAATCTTGCTCTCGTCGAATGATTTATTATTACCAAACGCGTGTTGACACATAAAAACAATGAAAAAGAAAGCGTTCAATTTCCTTTTGTCAAAACCGACGACACGAAAAACGTTGACTGGACATCTCAAGACAGCTTGACGAAACCGCATTTCGGCTCCTGTCGTCACGCAAACTCTTTTCAAAAACAAACACAAAATGACTTCACATATCTATAAATACCATCTATATCTTTATTAAATTACACCCGGATAAATACAGTGTCGTTAAATGAAAAGGCCATCAAGCCCCCCGACCTTTATCTATTTTTAAAGCTCTAACAAGACATAATGATGGATGAGCTTGAAGCCATGGCCCTTAATTTGTGTAAATGTAGTCGATTACTATATTTAATGCGAAACGTTAAACAATTACTGCAAAATGAGCTTTGAAAAATGACAATTACATCGGAAAGACAAATTGCAATATTCACAACTACTAATTTTCACGATTAGTGACTAGAATGGGCGATAAAATTTCACTTCGTTTAGAAGCGTTTAAATAAACAAATTTATTCATAGGAGTACTTAATTATTTTTACGTTGCGTAAATACACGAACACGGGAACTCTTTCAGGAGCAATTGCGGCCATTTTACCTCAACAATACGAAATCGGTGGCGCATAACGAAACACTTAACGATTAGCAAATGAAATAACGGCAAATAAAGCTATTAAACCAAGCACTCGTAATAATACCGTTACTAGAAAATAGACAAAAAAAAATACAACCAATTAATTGGTCGAGGATAAATAAAACTTGGATGTTAAATGAGACAACCTATAATCGGTGGAGTATACGCGTTTAGCTTTTTTTAATTATATTCGTACATTCGAAAGTAATTAAAACAAAATGGATGTGAGTCGTAACAGACGGCAGGCCATTATTAAAATAATATTAAACCGTTTTATAAGCGATAAACCCCCCCAAGGAACTTAATTTTCAAACCGTTGAAAAAAATTACAAAAACACAAAGGTGGTAACATTTATTTTGTTTCAATGATTTATAAAACGAGCAATTTTTCTGCAATTAGCAATTAGAAGGTGTTTTTTTTAAACAACTTATCCAGTGTATGAGAAGTTTGAAAACACCTCAATTTTTGTATTCTTCTTTCTTGCTTTGGCAGTCTAACTACTCTTATTTATGGCAAATAAATTTCAGAATTAGTGTTTTTCCATAAAAGCGATTTTAGAGTAAATAAACATCACTATAAATTTAAAAAATAACACTCTCCAGTTGAGTACATTCACAAAGCAAATTGTACAAATTTGTATTTGTAAATCATGATCTCCAGTATGAGCAATTTTGGCACAACTTTTACATCGCACCTTAAAAATATATTCCGTAATTGTCATATTAACATTTAAATCATCGATAACCTTCAATCTAATTCAATTTTCTTGTATTTTATTTAAAAATTTAAATTTATTTCGCCATAAAAGTTGAAAGAATCGTTATTTATGCTGCGCATCACACTTCCTTGATCGTCCAATAAATTACTAAGATTTGACTGAAACTTGGCCAGTTATAGAAATTTAAGTAAACTTTCACGACACTTTTATGGATTATTAAAAGTTACATTGCTTTCGAAATATTATCCGACATTATTTAATAGCCACAGTTATATGAAATTTAATCCTCGACCGAACAAATGTTAGTGCCAAAATTACAAATGACTGCAAGAAATTGGCAAGTTTAGTAAAATTTTATGTGCTCAAAGTAAATGTTAAAATTACTAGATAAACGTAATTAACAAACACATTATAATATCTAGGAAGATTTATGTTAGAAAATATTTGTCTAAAGAGATCATAAATTATCACTTGGGACGCTTCAAAAATTTAGGAGGTAATTATAAAATAAAATTTTGATATAATAAAACAGTCTTGACAAAAATTGTTCTTGAAATAAATTGGAGAAAACAAACCAACCAGTAGACATGCAAAACTTGAATCAGTAAAGTATGATTGATAGTGTTTTGATGTGACATCGCCTTTGCCAACGTACCGTAAATGGATCCTGAAACAAAACAAAAATAGCGTTAGATAAATCAATTTGGGAAACGGTTAAATACAGGTGGTTGCATTTACGACAATATTCTCATCGGTATCGATGATACAAAAACGTGTGTAATTTTGTATGATTAAATGCATAAATAACGTTACACAACGCAGAGCACATAGATTGCTTGCAGCGTTCCTCCACTATTACCGAGTAAATTAATTCGCACGAAGAGGCGATCACCAAACCGTCCCGAGACGTGGAGAATTGCATCCTGAAAAACTGTGATCGTGCTAAACAGTCGCTCGGGACTTCCACAATTCAGTTTATGGTCGTGCAACCGCAGCTTCCGCCGCTCTGCCTTGTAATCAGCGCAGATCGAACCATTATTGGCAATCAATGATCCGATAATAAACGTTTACTGCACTAGATTGCATGATTTAGTGCAGTGCAGCAGACGCTTAATTCGATCAGCCAAAAACGAGACACTGCCACTTTCGAATAATAAATGCGATTGAATTATTTCAGTGACGGATTTGTGACACCTCACACCAGACACAACGAAAAAAAAATTAAAATTAAAAGACAGGGCTGAAAACTGAAATTGTGTTCGGACGTCTACGTGATAGGTTATTTCAGGATATGATGCGGACAATGAACATCAAACAATCGACATGGCTCTAACTTTCCATTTATTTCATCTATTTTCACAACGCCAAAAACCGCAACGACCATTTATTTCGTTTTCGTATCCGAAAAATTTTAACAATTCAAACAAACAAAAAAAAATAATAAAAGCCCAACAAAAAACAAGAAAGTAATGCGGAAATCAAGAAATTCAAAAAAACTTATTTTTCAAAAACGTCCACATTTTTATAGTACCTACTTCGGTTAATTAAAACAAGTTTACCTATTTTATTTGTCTTTTTTTAGCAGGTTTTTTTTTCAAACAAAATTGTCATCTTAGCTAATTTTAACAAATATGTTTATAACGATTACAATACGGTTTTATTTATATCATTAATAACTTTTTTACGCCAGAACTCGCGCCCCAGAGAAAATTTTCAAGTAAGGTAAGATACCAGGAACATGAAAAAAATGTTTAAAAAATTCTATCTGTCAAAAAATTGAGACATCTATTTAAGGATACTGATGATCTTGTATATGTTTTTTTACAATTATTTAGTAAAGGGACAAAAATTTTGGAAATAAAAGCCACAAATAACATTGAACAGAGTTACAATTTAGGATACAGTTTTCTTGTTTCCTCTTTTAATAACCTATAGCAAAAAAACTTGTAAAATTACTTTTCCAACAGAAATAAATAGTCAAAGTGCAAATTTTAAACCCTCATAACTTCGAAATTTTTATACATATTTTTTTAACACATATTTTTTTTTACATTTTTTCCATGTTCCTGGTATCTTACCTTATACAGGGTGAATATAAAGTATGGAACCAAGCGGTTTTATTTTTAATAATTTGCCTCCGGAAAATAATAATTAATATAAATTAAAGTAATATAAAAAATGTGATCGTAATTTCAGAACGAAATTTTGTTTTGTTTTTGAGTTATGCGATTTTGTTTGTCAAAATTGCAATTTGTGAAAAAATTTTTTTGAAAAAATTAAAAATAAAGCAGATAGTTGTAATCCTTAGAGTATAGCTTTTATGAGAAAAATGATTTTATAGTGGATTGAAATTTAAAAAAATTATTTTTTTTTGTAGAACTCAACAAAAATAAAAGGGAATTTCGAAAAATTTTATGCTTGTTAAATCATCATATTTTTGTAGTACTTTAGCACTCATCAATTAGTTTTTTCAAAAAATAAATAGTTTAAGCAAAAAACGTTTGGTTCTATACTTTTTATTCACCTGGTATGTCATTTTTCTCTGGGGTGCGAGTTCTGGCGCACGCTGTATAGAAATGACCAAAATTAGTCACAATGTAATTAATATTTCGTCAATTTGGCAGAGGAAACAACAATTTGAAAGTCGTTCCTTGATATCGAAAACAGCATAATCCTGATACCAAAACACGGCATTTCTTGTCTCTTGAATCCTCTCCTGTTGTTTTACACGTGTAAAATTTGAGAGTTTGGTATGTTTTAAGTAATGTTCATGGCACATGAATTCTCATACACCCAATGTGTGTGTTTTTCGAGGTGACAGACAACACGAGCCCACCGTTTCTTAGGCCACGATGGCAGCTGCTCGGCTTTATTTCAGTTTAGCACTTTGTCAATGACAACGCTGGGTGCGATAGCGCGCTGTTTTTCGATAGCCGCTGGATTTATTTTAACTCATCTGAAAATAAGGTGTCGACTTGTAGCTTACACATGTTTGTTTACGTGGGTATTTAGGAAGATAAGGTCGACTGTGATTGATTCATTGCCGCTTAAACGGATTCAAATTATAAGTTATGTGTGCCAGCCAGCAGCAGCTCGCAAGACTACTAAATATTTTGTAAAAAGAGAAAAATCGAGGTATTTTACTAGAGAGGTGATATATGACGACAAATGCTAAGTCGAGAAGATAACAAGTATATTTCTTTTAGTTGAAACACTGGAAATAACCGAGGGGATTTGTGTTACTAGACACGCTACAAACAATTATTTTCTGCATCTTTTAGTTATTTAGTTTATTAGATGTCATCGATATCTAATACGAAAAGACGAATATCCGGAACAGTGACACATGTCGGAACTGGCGCCAGTGTTGGACCCTCAAATAATTTATTATGGATCAACACACCCACAGGACACAAGAAAACCCCAAATGGAAGCCCAAGACAATTTGTGAGACAAAAGTTTAATTGTAAGGAAAAAAACAGAAATTCGATCCAAATCTATTTTTTGTAAACACTCCCGAAAATAGCTGTCCTTAAAATAAGTCTTTTCCGGACTCAATAAAATAGTACATAAAATGGTTATTTTAGGTACAGTCGAACAAAATGAAAATGACGCCTCAATAAACCAGCCCCTGCTGCTGGATCCGACCCTTCTAACCGGATGGTAAATTATCGGATTGCAAACTTGACGTAGTTTCAAGATAAATTCCTCTAGGAGCCGGTTTACAAAAAGCGAAATGAAAATCTAATTCAGAATTAAACTAATTCGAATTAAGTTCCCATTTATTTTGCATTGACAAACGTCAAATTCTTTTTTTTTGAAGAAAATTATGCATTAATCATGACATTGAGGAAAAAACAAATCATTATTAAGTTAATAATTTTTTTTAACGGTTTTTTTCAAAATAAAATTAAATAACATAATTTTTGAACGAAATAGGCTTTCTCTATTTTAAACTTGATTTTATGTAAAACCACAAATGAATTAAACCATCATTGTTCATTTGCGAGAAGAAGGTTTAATTCCACGTGTGCCTTTACCGCCATTTATTTTGCATTGACAAACGTCAAGTTAATCGCGAATTAATATTTAATTGCGATTAACACGTTTTGTAAACCAACCCTAAGTTTTCTATTAGTTTTATAGTTGTCACTGAAAACGAAGCAAAATTATTTATTTAATTAAACCAAGAAAAAAACGGCAAATTATTTCAAATATTTTAGTTCTGCTACAAAATTTGTTCTTTAATAACTGTAATACTTTTAAATTAAATAAAAAAGTTTAGTTTTATAAACAAAAAATCTAACAAAAACCATTTCTTAAAGAAAAATACTCATTAATAAGAAGATAAAATTTACAACAAAACAAATTATTATTAATGTTATACATTTTTTTGATAAACTGTATTCCAAAATTAAATTAAATAACATAATTTTTGTACGAAACAGGCTTTCTCTATTTTTATGTAAAACAATAATATTTTAAATGATTTATAAAATAATTTTATTTTGAAAAACAAACAAAAAAACAATTATTAAATTAATAATGATTTGTTTTTTCGTCAATGTCATCATTAATGCATAATTTTCTTCAAGAATTGATTGTTAAATTTTTCACTAAAAAAATTACATTTTCATTTAACCGGCTCCTAAAGGAATTTATCTTGAAACTACATCAAGTTTTCAATGCGAAGGGTCGGGAGGGCATCCACAACAGGGGGTGGTTTACTGAAGCGTCATTTTCACTTTGTTCGACTGTACTCAGTAATTTTTTTTTTAATTAATAAGAGTTGTAAATTTGTTTTTTTAGGAGCTTTAACAAAAAAACTGTATTTTAGATCCTTGTAACAAAAATAACCATAAAGCTATTGAAGCTTCATAGTTCTTTACTTTCCTTGTAGATGTTCCCAATTAATGCCTTCAAAATTTATTCCTACTTGTAAGAGACCCGGCCGAATCAGATAAATGGAATAAAAAGCGTATAATCAACCCAATACGATGGTAGGTATATTTAGTTCTGGCCGTCATGTGGTGTGAACAGGAAATAGAAGCGAGGGTGTCGTAAATCAGGGTGTAGGTGCGCGAGGCTAATTGGGTCCCGTCTGGGGCTGGCGCCACCGCTCCTTGGCACTCCCACAACATCCCTAAAATTTAAATCCGCTGACCAAAACCCCGCATGACCTCTTATAAATTACCACTACTAAAACGACGATCAAAAAATATAATAACAACAACGTGGTGGTGGCGCTTTCATGTGACGCTGAAATTAATCACACTACATACGAGTATGATTTTGTCGACACGAATAATTTACATAAATGTTTAATTTAAATTTTATCACCTAGATTCGAGAGAGTGTACGCAAAAACACGAAAATCATGTCAATAACCCGCAAATCCAGATGCAGGCACAAAACTGTTAATTGATCAATCATTTCTGTAACGGATGTTTGACTCTTAATGTTTCATGAGAATCCGACACCTGCTGGTGTCAGAAATGGGCTCCGATGACACGTTTTTTTCTCCTTTTTAGACGTCCCATGGAATTGATCTTGATGGAGACGGGCATCTTACGCTTAATTAGCTACATATGTTAAGTATTTTGTTACAACTCGTTTATTTTTCATTAAGTGTAACGCTGAATGGATGTTTTTCTCAGAATCGATGTT